GGGGAGGTTTAGGTGCTCTTGGAGAAGTAGGGTGATGTAAGTCTTGGTTTCTATCTCAGGTCTGTAAACTGTAACCTCTATGATTTTGGGAGTGCCACTTTCACTGAGATTTGATGGGGATTAAAAATAGTTCCTTCCTATTCTGAAACAAATTCTCTGTCTCTCTCTCTATCATTTTCTCCCTCCCTCCCTTCCTCTCTCCTTCTCACCCACCTTTTCTCCCTCTGTTTTTGTTTGGGAGTAAGCACATTGCTATCCTAGGTTTTGTTTGCCATATTTTCGTTTCAGTTTATAAATTCTGAGAGTGAGCTCTATCATTGGGACTATAGGGAAGGAGGCGTTTCATCCACTCCTTTGCTCATTTATTCTTTAACTTGCTTGTATAGGAAGAAAATTGATTCAGAACCCACAGTAGCCAGCTGGAACGTGAGGATGAAAGAGTAGAACAATGATTTCTAGACTTCTTTGATACACATTCTCCTCTGATACACATTTCTGAATATTTCTAGCATGAGAAGAACATATTATTCTGCTTTCTTTAAACCGCAGCTATGGAGATGTTATAAAAGAGTAGATGACTGAGTGTGGCAAGTAAGAAAACACAATAATAGCTACTATCCAGTTGAGTTTGAAAGAGACTTTACGCTGCAAGTAGGAGCTTAACACTTAATCCACCTTTGTATATTCATAAAAGCTTTTGTTAAATATTTATCCTATCTACTCTGTTACAAACCTTCTTCTTGGCATTAGGAATGCAGGGGCAGATAACATTGTAAGGAGAAGACCACTAGAAGATCAGACTTCAGAAGAGGCTGGCCATAAATATGCAGTGAAATAAGTCACCCTGATTACATTGATTCCCCCACACAAGAGTTAAGTGGGGCTATGGTGCAGAGAGTCGTGAAATGAAAAGGCATATTTACTCTGCTTAAAGAAGGTCTCTTTGGGGAAAATGATCTTTAAACTGGCATCTAAACCTGATAGAGGTTTAGAGGAAACATAAAAGAGATGGAGGAAAGGGTTAAATGAAGGACACTGAAGCAAGAAGATAACTTATGTTATAAAAATAAAACTTTCTGGTTGCAGCCCGAGGAAGAAGGCACAGGGTAGAAGAGTGGATAGAGCACAATAAGTAGTTCTTTACTGCTGGATTTTTTATGTCATTGAGTGAGTGTATCACTAAATAACTAAAGCATAGTAAAACTAATGTGTGCCCCATCCCTTATAAAATGATACAGCATCTGTGCTCTGATGTCATTGCCTTGAGAGAAGTGATCATCAGGAAAGTGGTTGTTGTCCCACTCTTGCGTAACAGTTCTTTTTTTTTCCAGGATTGAAACATTCCATCTTGAAGGGATCTCCTTAAACAGAAAGGTAAATAACTCAAAATTGCTTCAGGAAATCCCTGAAACTGACCAGATTCACTGGGCTCTTCTCTTCCCAAGTAAGTAATAAAACTACTGAGAGTCGCTCTCAAACAAGATAAACTACAAAGAAGACTCAGACAAGGCAAGCTACAAAGAAGACTCTGAAGCTAGCCCATCTGCCTAAAAGAAACAAAAACTAGGTAGGCTGCCTAGAAGAGGTTTAGAACAATGGAATCCTTTGGAAAGAACACTCCTAAAGCTGTTGAGCTACCTGCAGGTTGTGCAGGTGTGCTCCAGGTTCCCAACATTTGTGGTAGGGTGGGTTTTGGTGATGTAGCTGTTTTTGAGTCATTTCTGCTCCAGTAATTAACCTTTCACCCATATTCTTTTAAGTAGCTTCAAATAAAACTCATTGATTATGTAGAAGAATACAAATAGATCCATATCTATCACCATGCACAACCTTTAGTCCAAATGGAACAAAGACTTCAACATAAAACCAACCACACTGAACCTTATAGAAGAGAAAGTGGAAAGTAACCTTGAATGCATTGGCTCAGAAGACTACTTCCTAAATATAACCCCAGCAGCACAGACACTGAGAAAAACAATTAATAAAGGGGACCTACTGAAAAACTGAGAAGCTTCTGTAAAGCAAAGAACACAGTCAACAGGACAAAACGCCAGCCTACAGAATGGGAAATGATCTTTACCAGCCCCATATCGGACAGAGGACTGATATCCAAAATATACAAAGAACTCAAAAAAAATTTTCAAAAGAATAAATAAGCCAATAAAAAATGGGATACAAAGGATCCAACTAAGTTACAGTTCCCTTCATGGAAATAACTTGAGATTCCACCCAGGGAGTGGTTTGCCTACAGAGAGTTTTGGTCTAGGGCACAAGCATGACTTGGTTGGTGACTTGTTTTGTTCTAGCAACAGAATGTTTAACTATGAATGTAGCCCATGTCTTTCGATTGGTATGTTCCTTTCCTTGTATCATGTTAATGCAGTTTTTTGTCTTACTCCTATCTTTTGGGATTAAGGGTATTTTAAGGAGTTGGAAATTAAACGTGGGTGAATTTTCAGTACCCACTGACAAATTCACTCCCAATACTATTCTTAAAAATATGGGGTATAGCCCTAAACAGAGAACTATGAACAGATGAATCTCAAATGGCTGAAAGACACTTAATTCAAAGCTCAACATCCTTAGCCATCAGAAAAATGCAAATCAAAACAACTCTGAGATTCCATTCTAAACTTTTCAGAATGGCCAAGATCAAAAACACTGATGACAGCTTATGCCAGAAAGGATGTGGAGTAAGGGGAACACTCCTCCATTGCTTGTGGGCAGAAAGAACATGAAAACAACAGGATGGGGAAGAGCGCTATGAAACATTGTTTATGGTAGGTGACCTGACTGCTGCTCACATGAACTCAGAGAGCTGCGGTTGCCTGCACAAGATCAAACTTGCCAAAAGTCTACCATGTAGGACAGGTCTCAAGAGGCCCTGCTCCTAGCTAAGAAGTTATTGGCAGATGATGGCTGCTAGGGCAGAGATGGGCATTTTTCTTACATGATGTAGTCACTGGTAAGTTTTCCATGCTCCAGTAAAAAACTGCACCCACGTTCCTGCAGGCAACATTAAGTAAAATTAATAGCATGTGTATACACTCATGTATGCGCACGTTCACACACACGCACATTCTCTCGTGTGTGTGTGTGAACACGCACACGCACACACACGGTGAAAGTAGGAAAGGAATTTGTTAGAAAGAAAGTAATGTGAGTGAATATGGGCAAAATATGCACTACAGGCACGTATAAAATTATTAAAGAATATTTTATAAATACTTTTAGGGTCTGGAGAGATGGCTCAGTAGTTAAGAGCATTCATTAGCTGCTCTTCCAGAAGATCAAAACTCAATTCTCAGCATCCACATGTTGGCTCACAATTGTTTATAACACAAGTTCCAGGGCCTCCAAGACACCAAGCACACATGTTGTACACAGCTTTTTATGCAAATAAAACACCCTTACACATTAAATAAATAAATATTTAAAATAGTAAGTAGCATAGTAGCAACTCTCTTTAGAAGAGTCCACACCCCTCTTTCGGGTGTGCCTTAATCTTTTCCTGAGTTTCCTTCTTTCTATATTTAATAAATTCCAACTCTGATTCAGAGAGAGAGAGAGAGAGAAAGAGAGAGAGACCACTGTTTTCTCTTAATGATCCTCATTACTAATTCAGAATTTAAATACTGGAAGTATTTTCATCCCCATTTTCCAAAAGGACTAACCTAAGGCTGAGGAGAGGAACTGAGCCTTAAAAAAAAAAATAACAGTATAAAACATGAAGTTAAGAGTAGCAAACCTAGATGACCCTCAACTGAAGAATGGATAAAGAAAATGTAGTACATTTACACAACGGAGTACAACTCAGTGGTTTAAAAAAAAATGACACCTTGAAATTTACAGGCAAATGGATGTAACTAGAAAAAAAAACATCCTGAGTGAGCTAACTCAGACCCAAAAAGGCTAACATAGCATGTACTCAGTCATATGTGGATATTAGACATAAAGCAAAAGACAACCAGGCTACAATCCACAACCCCAGAGAAGACCAGAAACAAGGAGAACCCTAAGAGGGGCATACACGGATTCCCCACCCCAGGAAGGGGAAGTAGATGAGATCTCCTTAGGAAATTGGCAGCATGGAAGGAGGAGGGGGTTAGGAGAAGAGGAAGGGAGAAGGGGAGGATGGAGGAGAACTTGCAGGGATCAGGAATGTGGAGTTGAATAAAAAGCAGAGAGGGAGAACAAGGAAAGAGCTAGCTTGAAAGAAGGAGCCCTTATGAGATGAGTGGGAAACCAGGCACTCATGAATCCACAAGGATGACCCCACCTAAGAATCTAAGCAATAGTGGAGTGGGTGCCTTAACTGCCCTTCACCTGTAATCAGATTGACGACCACCTTAATTGTCATCATAGAATCTTCATCCAGGAACTGATGGCAGTAGATTCAGAGATCAACAGCTAAGCACTGGGTCGAACTCCTGAAGTCCAGTCATAGAGAGGGAGGAAGGATATCATGAGCAAAGGGACCAAGACCATGATGGGGAAACCCACAGAAACAACTGACCCGAGCCAATGGGAGCTCACTGACTCTGGACTGACATCTGGGGAACCTGCATAAGACTAAACTAGGCCCTTTGAATGTGGGTGACAGTTGTGTAGTTTGGGCGGTGAATCCTCTTTGCGGGGCCACTAGCAGCATAACCGTTCCTAGTGCATGAACTGGCTCTTTGGAGCCCATTCCAAATGGAGAGATACCTTGCTCAGTCTAGATGCATGGGGGAGGGCCTTGGTTCTACCTCAAGTGATGTGACAGATTTTGTTGACTCCCCATGGGAGGCCTCACCCTCTCTGAGGGGTGGGGTGGGGAGAAGGTGGAGGGAGAGAGAGGATGGGAGGGAGAGGAATCTGGGATTTGTATGTAAAATAAGATTGTTTTAAAAATAAAAAAAGAAAGAAAAGAGTAGCAAACCAATGCCATATCAGCCCCCATTTCTCCTACTGCATATGTTCAACTCAGGATTTCTACCCAGCAAGCTGTAGAGGAGTTTTTAGAATGTTTCTTGTGTTTGGACCAAAAGCAATTTCATTATTACTCTCCTCAAAGCATCCTTGAGTTCTCTGTTCCTCATGCTGTAGATCAAGGGGTTCAGCACAGGGGTGATGAATGTGTAAACCACAGATACTACCTGGCCCCGCTCAGGAGAGTAACTGGAGCTGGGACACAAGTAGATGAGACTTCCACATCCATACTGCAGGAGGACCACAGTCAGGTGGGAGGAACAGGTAGAGAAGGCTTTGCGCCTCCCCTCGGCGGAACGGATCTTCAGGATGGCATCTACAATGAAGACATAGGACAGAGTGATGAGGAGGAAAGGGATGGTCAGGACGATGACACTGACCACAAACAGGGTGGCCTCGTGGACATGGGTGTCTGCACAGGCCAGTCTCATGACAGGGAGGACATCACAGTAGAACAGGCTGATTTCCTTACTGCTGCAGAAAGGCAGTCGGAAGATGAGCACGGTCAACTGCATGGCCAAGATGAACCCCACCAACAGGGACCCCAGCGCCAGCTGGACACACAGGTGCCAGCTCATGATGAGGGTGTAGCGCAGAGGGTGACAGATGGCCACAAACCGGTCATAGGCCATGACGGCCAGCAGGATGCAGTCAGCACTGCCCAGGAAGATGAAGAAGAACATCTGGGCACCACAGCCTGCCAGGGAGACCACAGTTCTCTCTGCAGACAGGACGCTGGCCAGAGTCAGCGGAGCTATGGTAGAAGAATAGAAGATCTCCAGGCTAGCCAGGTTCGCCAGGAAGAAGTACATAGGGGTGTGGAGACACCGATTGGCCCAGGTGGTGAGGACGATGGACATGTTTCCTCCGATGCTGACCAGGTACATCATGAGGAAGACCACAAAGATCAGCATCTGCACCTCGGGGAGTCTGGAGAAGGGGCGGAAGTGGAAGAGGACCATCCCGGTCTGATTTCCTTCTTCCATGTATTTAGTGCATTGGCACTGCTACTGGCACCCGTGACACCCCTGACGATAGGCAGAGTGCTCCTGGAAGAGACTTGTCATTATTCTCACAGGCTCTGAGCACAGTATTTTCTACTTACTCTTAAGGCCATCACATTTTCCCATCAGCCTAGGTTTTGCTCTTTCTTTTCTTCTGCACAGATAGTCCTCTCCGTCCCTCTTATTTTGTCTGGGACCCGGGCTCACAAGCTATTTGCTCAGCTTCCAACATCTAGTGCTGTTGTCCCTTCTATGACAGCCTTCCTTCCCATAGCATCAATCAACCTCAATCAACCGTGCCAATGTTATGTCACACTTCAGAGCCTCTCGCTATGCATGGTGGCCTATGCCTGTAATCCCAGCATTTTGGAAGCAGAAACAAGAGGATCAGGACTTTCAGCCCACCTTCAGCTAAGAGTGAGTTTAAGGCCAACTTGAGCTAAATGAAACTCTGCTTCAAAAACAATTAACAACAGTCCCCTTTCCATAATAACCGCCTCCCATTTCCTTTATTCGTTTGTTTGTTTGTTTGTTTTGGTGTAAATTTTGATTTTTGGAGACAGGTTTTTTTTTTTCTGTGAGGCCCTAATTGACCTCAGACTCACTCTATAGACCAGGCTGCCTTTGAACTCAGAGATTCACATGCCTCTGCCTCCTGAGTGCTGGGATTAAATACCCACACAACCACCACCAGGCCCATTTCCTATTCTTTATCTCGAGTAGTCTATTGTATTGCATTTCTCTGCTTCTTGAGACCATCTTACTGAAGGTCATCAAGGACGTCCCAATTCCTGAACCAAACAGGTAGTTTTGACATCTCTGTTACATCCAAATCTGTTGGAAATTCCTTATTCCTGGTTGCAATGAAACTGGTCCATTCTCCTACCTCTCTGGACATGAATCAGGCAAAGCATTTTTGGCCTCTCACCAGCTGCCCTCAGATCCATGATCTAACTAACTTCACATACCCTATAGGAGTCTCTAAGGACGACATCAGATGGATCTCTCACATTCTGGCTTCTTACTGTATTGGATCAAAGAGAGGAATGGGCTGGAGAATAAAAGAGAGACAGAACATCCATCCCTCACACAGGATGCCACATTCTCCTCTGTCTGGCCTGCTGCTGTCTAATAGCAAAGTCTAACTCCTAATCGAGAGTGAGCCTGGCCATTCCTGGAGTTCTGATCTCCTGAACAACCACCTCCCTCTCTATTGAACATCATAGCAAATGGAAAAGGAATGAGACACATTTTTCTTAAACAGGAGTCTCATGAGGGAAGGAATTGTTTTTTTTTTCTGACCCTGCTGACACGGATTAGCACAGAAAGCCACAAACAGATGTTATCATGTTATGCCCACATATTGCTTGCAACATGTTTGTAGTAGGTGTTGTTTTCAACGGTAAGTGCACTTAAGTCAAGTCGCCTCATCTTACATGGACATTGTTCTGAATTAGGGCCATGAATGAGTCACAAAGGAAAAATGGGGAACACCATACAGAACAAGATTCAAGCTATTCATCGTAGCTTGTAAAAGTTGATTGCACTGGGAGCCCAAAGCATAGCTAAGATTAAGTACATTGGCTTTTTTTTTCAAGGTCAGATAATCCTAAACAGGTTGCATACATAGTGTAAGCAGAAAGAGCGCTTAGGTCGAAATGATCTCGAAGCACAGTGCATTGTTAGCTCGACTGCAGTTTTGATGAAGCCTGATTAAGAGGCATTTCTCCGTAAAGTGGCTCTCATATCGGTCCTTCTTCCTTGCTCATCTTTTCTCAAGTCATGTACTGACTCCAGGCTGTGGTGGTGCATATCCTTAATCATAGCACTTGGAAAGCAGAGGTAGGAAAATAGCTGTGAGTTCTAAGGCCAGCCTGGTCTACAGAACAAGTTCCAGGACAGCCAGATTATATGGAGATCCTGTCACCAAAAAAGAGGAGAAAGGAAGAAGTAGAGGAAATAAGGGGAGGGAGGATAAGAACAAGGAGGATGAGGAAGACATATACTAGCCATGTAACTGAGTCTGATCTTGAACTCAAGATTCTTAATTGTCTATTGGTTGCTGAGATTACATGTATGTACCGCACTTCTGGAGTTAGAGCATATTTTTATGAATGGACATACATATGGCATCCTGCTTAACCATGATTGCTATACAATTTGTCGTTTCCCTTTTGGGTTAGCTGCTATGATACTCAAAATAATCTCTGTACTCAATTGTTGAACATTCCTTAGCCCAGTAATTCTCGACCTGTGGATCTCAATCTCTTGGGGGTCAAATGACCTTTCACAAGGGTCACCTAAGATCATTGGAAAACACAGATATTTACATCACAATTCGTAATAGTAGCAAAATTACAGTTATGAAGTATCAAGGAAAAAATTTTCATGGTTGGGGGTCACCACAACATGAGGAACTATATTAAAGAGTCTCAGCATTAGGAAAGTTAAGGACCACTGCATTAGCCCAAAATTATCATTAAATGGTTATTTCAGTTTTTTTTATTTTTATCATATACAGTTTAGTTTTGAGGATTTATTTCAAATACTCTATTTTTAAAACACTTGAGTTATAATAAATTAAGAAATAAATTTTACGGTTTCTAGTTGGGGGCATCTAAGAATGCTATTTCTCTTTAATACTTTGTGCTTGCTCCTATAATGGCTGCTACCCAACAAAGCTCAGAAACATAGCTGGTCATTATTATTCCTGTCAACATTCCACAAATAGAACTTCATAAAAATAAAAAACTTACCCTGTGGTATTTGTCTCCATCTAAGACATTGATGAGTGAAAAAAAAAATCTCCCCACATTAGTGACAAATCTGGAGACTCCTCGTTAGGTAGAGGAGGTTAAACACTCCAACTTATCTGTAATTCAACACCAGAAAGCTCCTCTAGGAGATGCCAAGGTCAGGAGTATTCATTGGCCCAGTCCCAGGGTCTACAACACAAAGCAGCTCAGACAGTCTCCTCTGTCTCCTTCCTTTCTTCTGCCTAGGGGACCTGGCACCACATTCTCAACCCAAGGCTGACTCAACCCCAAGCTGTGGTCCTCCTAATGGTTGCACAACTATGTAGCTCAACCTCTGAGAGTCCCCCTTCCTCTGAGGACAGCACACATTTCTGTATGCCAGCTCTTCCCACTGCCCCTTCACCAGGGAAGAACATGGGACCTAGGGATTTGTGGAGTTGAACTCCAGGTTGCTTCTCTGTTCTCACTCTTCATCTCATTTCTGGAGAATTCCCTGCCCATGCTGATTCCACTGAGCCCCAGGAGGCTGACTTGGCGTTCGACTGGACCAGCCCCAGTAGGTCTTTAAACACAAATAGGAATTGTTTGGGGATACGATCTTGTAAACTGCTTTAATTGCTACTAGATTTGGCTGTATCTTCATCACGGACTTGTTTTCATTCTGCCTGTGTAACAGAAATGGGCAAGATGGTCATTGCTTCCCTGAATTATACAGAAGGCAGGATTTGGTGCGCCTCCACATACTCCCTCTAGTTTTCTATTGTTTTCCACACATCCCTATAATTTTATGTTTGCTGAATTAAATATGTGTACTAAGAAAACATCCATTGTTAAAAGCTTCACAAAGAAAAAAATTCATTCATTCCCTGGCAGGTAATAGCACCCTTCATTCATCATCTGGCCTATCTTCTAGAATCAGACTCTAAGAAATTCAGAAGCGACAATGACCAATGCATTATTTTCACCCAGAGAACTCTTCAGATTCTCCCTTGATTCACTGAGTGGTTCTAGATCACCCCACCATTACAACTTTCTTTTCCCTAAAAGAATGTCGAGCCACAGTGAACATAGTGTACAAGTTTAGAACCTCATCTCATAGGGGTTAGCCTGTATTTCTGCCAATCATTAAAACCTTGACCAAGGGCTAGAGAGATGGCTCAGAGGTTAAGAACACTGGCTGCTCTTCCAGAAGTTCTGAGTTCAATTCCTAGCAAACAAGTTGTGGCTCACAACCATTTGTAATGAGATCTGGTGCCCTCTTCTGGTGTGCAGGCATACAGACAGACAAAACACTGTTTACATAGTAAATAAATAAATCTTAAAAAAAAAAAGACCTTGATCAAAACCCACATTTCATATCTTTAGGAAGCATAAGTCTAGTACCTGCTGTATGGTCCAAAGATCAGTTTCCTTGTTAAGAACAGGAAGAGACTAGCAAGCACTGAAGGCCCATGGGATAGCCCTAGGTAAATGCCTACGACCTGACTTTGATGTCCAAAATCTACAAAAATATAAATATAGTGGTTTTCATCCTCAATCCCAGCCCTTTTACAAGGGAATGGAGGGGGGAAGAGGCAGGAAAATCAACCCAGAAGCATCGTGGAGCTTGCAGAGCAATAGAAGCAAAAAAGACTCTGACTTGACAAGGTGAAAAAAGATATGGACTTCCAAAAGTTGTCCTCTGACTTCCACATACACATCGTGGCATTAATATCTACCTGTTCTTATTCACACAGATCACACACACATGCACGCACATACACACACACGCACTCATGATGATGATAATAATAATAATAATAATAATAATAATAATTGATAAAATATTTTAAAAGACTAGTGAGCACTAAATTTCACAACCCAAACAATTGATTATATTATTGGATTTTTTTTCATTGTTATCAGTGTGTGTGAGAATAACATACGTGTGTGTGTGTGAGTGCAGACACAAATGTCATGGAGCATATGTGGACATCAGAAGACAACTTTTGGGAGTCAGTTCTCTCCTCCCACTGTGGGTTTCAGGGATCTAAGATCATCAGGCCAGCTCAGCAAGCCCTTTACTGGCTCACCCATCTTATTGGTATATGCTATTCTCCTTAGGAACTTTTTTTTTCCATTTTTTTATTGAGAAAAGGAGAAAAAAAAACAAGTTTCCACCTCCTCCCAGCCTCCCATTTCCCTCCCCCTGCTTAGGAACTTTTTTTTTCCCAGCAGAAACTTGGG